TTTTTTTTTTTTTTTTTTTTTTTTTTTTTTTCTTTTTTTGCAGCCTGTGGCACAAATTCAGCACTGCTAGAAGCACCTTTGCTTTGGGGTTGGTCAGTGCAAGTGCTGCCAGGGTACGGCGTGCCTGAATTTGGCCACAGTCTGAGTCTTTCTACATGCACACACACACACGCTTGTCAGCATGTTTTAAGGCAGTGGTCCACAACAGAGTCTCTGGGATCCTGGGGAGGGTCCTGGGCAGGCACGAGGGTGTGGAGGTCTGTGTGCACTCTGCAATTGCATAACCTTGCACTGGAGTTGAATTGCTGGATGAGTTTTGGAGCACAGCACGGGAGCTGGATGCTGTTTCCCAATACAGTAGGTAAGTGGAATGGTGCAGGGGTGTGTGTGATGGGCTGGCGGGGCATTGCCTGGTGCTGTGATTGCTTGCCTCTCTTCTGATCTCCTACCCTGTGTTTCCTCCTGCCTCCCTCCCTCACATCTTTCCCAAAGCAATCTTTAACTGCAGGATTTTGTTAATGAGCTTTATGTTAGTGGTCGCTGGAGGCTTGTAGTGCTCCAGCCAGTATCCACCTGAACCGGTGCCTTCGCCCAGGCCCTAGCACTGCAGGTAGCTCTGATTTTCACCTGTGGAGGAACGCTGCCTTTTTCATTAGTGAAGCTCAGTGTTCAGAACAAAGCACTTTCACGTCCAAGTCTGAGGCAGAGAATTAAGGAAACAGAGCATTATCAATTGTCAGCAAGCTCAAGAGCACGTGCTCTGGGGATGGGAGGCAACCACAGTGGCACCCTCCTCCTGTGGCAGGGTGAGCTGTGATGCAGGGGAGTAGGTTGGACAGGGAAAGGTTGCTCTTACACACCATGGCATCTTCCCTTTGCTGTATGAACAAAGTGAGGGCAAAACCGCCTCCTCTGACCCGTGTCCTTTTGGTCTGTGAACCACGGCTGTGTGATCCAGCTGTGCCCTCTGCCTGCATCCCTCCATCATTGTCACCGGGTCCCTGACACGCAATGCCTCCTCTGACACCAACTCCAGGTCACCCCACGATCCATAAAGTGCTTCCATCCAGGCATGCTGCTGCTGAGCAAGCCCTGGGCTGGGGTGCTGGCCAAGGCCCTAGGACTGAGCAGAGGGCTAAAAATATTTAAAAAAACAACACAACGAAACAGGATAAAACCCCCTACTATTGGGTTTGGAACAGTGGCTTTTGGAGCTAGAATTAAAAATAGATCTATATGTATATATTGTACAGGTGAGGAGCAGACCATTATTTGTACACCTGTGTGCAGGGACCTGCTATATACACACTGATTCTGCGCAGCTGTACTAACAGTGAGTTGCATTGTAAAAAAACCCAACAAAACAATAAATACAACCATGTGTTTAGAAAAACAAGAAATGCTGCAGTTCCCACAGACACCTCTCTTCCCCAGTGCTGCCAGGGCGTCTCTTGCCTTGGGGGCAGGAGCCCAGGTCCGAGCGTGTCTGCAGCCGGGTGCGCTGGCTGCTAAGGCGAGGCAGCAGCTGCAGGTGGGGCCGCCGAGCCGGCGCTGGCTCCCCTATGGCTTTCAAACAGGCGACAGGCTGGGGAACGGGCAAGTTCTCTCCTGGCACGCGGTTTCTGCTTGTTCCAGGCTGTAGGGAAGCTCCTTCCTTTGTTCCCGTTCAGTCTGAGGGGCCGTGAAGCGCAGGGAAGAGAACCCCGTGTCCTGGAGCAGAGGCTGTTGTCCCCAGGGCTGGAGGGTGGCAGCCAGCAGCTTCTACGCAGCAAACACTGTGGATCTGGGACGCAGGTGAGGCAGTTCCCTGTCCCCCAAGGGGACGTGGTGGTCAAAAAATGGAGTCAGGAGAGGATGGCTGCCTGTCCTGGGGGGCAGCGAGGCAGGGTGGGCGCAGAGAGGTCTGGGGCTGGCAGCAATGGAAGGGCAGGTCGGGAGGACAGGGGAAATGCCACAGCACGTTAGAGTGTGCACTGTACAGGGGAGCAGGAGGGTGGGAGCAGCTGTCCCCCAACTTCTGCCTTCTCTCACTCCAGGGCAGCTTCAGGCTGGCACTGTGTGGTGTTTTCTACAGGCCCAGGCCTGGGGGCAGTGGCTCTGGAGATGCACTCTCTGGAGTCCAGCTCACAGGTGTCATGGGGAGGGGAGCTGCGTGGGGCAGGCACAGCTACAGCGCACATGACACACGCACAGATCACTACACAGAGAGCCTATGCCAGCAGCTTCCCTACAGTGCAGGCTGAGAAGGGCAGATGCAGCACTGGGGGAGGGAGGGGAACAGAAATGGGGTGATGGCTCATCAGTTTGGAAAGTCTTGGCAGGACAGCTAGGGAAAGCTCAGCTCATTTTTGTGCCAGAGCAGACACTTGCACCCAGTCCTTCCAGAGGCTACAGGTGAAACAGGGTTGCTGTGCTGTCACCCAGTAGCAGCCAAGCTACATCTGAGGATCCTAGACAAAAGCAGCTGAGGCCTGAGGCTCCCCAAGCTGCCCTTGCACATGCTGCTGCCTGACAGGCTGCAAGTACACATTGAAGTTTTGCTGTAGGTCAGCAAGGGGTGGCTGGTGTCAGAACCAGGGCAATGCCTTTGGAGCACAGAGGGGGATCCTAACCTGCTGCTGGGACCTGATCTCCACCTGCTCCCCAGTGCTGGTGTTGCCTCTCCTTCCTGCTATGCAAATGCTGCTCTGGGTGATGGTGACCCAGGACTCAAGCCTAGGACTCGAGCCTCAGTGCTGGCATTCTGCTCCTGGTACTGGGTTGCTCCTGGCCCATTAACTCAAAGGGCACTGGGTCCCTGCAGCCAGGAGGGCCTGGGCTGACTGTGTGAGCACCCTACGCTGATGTCCAGTCTCCATGCTCTAACCTCCAATGAAAGGACCTACCTCTCCTCGCCCTGCTGCCTCACCTGCTGTCCCGGGGCTGCCCCCACGCTCCGGTGTCACTTCAGCAAAGATATGTCATCAGCAAAGTCATCGTGGTCCCGTCGCAGGCAGTGGAAGCAGCGCCACTGGAACACCATGAGGCAGAGAGGCAGCATGAACAGGGCGCAGATGGCTGCCATGACATAAGCAATGGTCATCAAGGTGGACTCATCCGTCTGTGGGATGTTGTAGCCGCAGTCCTCCATGTTGGAGTGCAGGTAGGGCCCCTCCACTGCGGCTGTCCGAAACTCGTCGTGCACTGTGGGCAGGTAAAAGGCGAGCGTCTGGTCACTGAGATACCACTGCACATTCACACCTCTTCCCTGCAGCCCCTGCCTTCTCTCCCTCTTGCCTTGCTTCTCTTCCTTACCGTGGCAGGCACTGACAGCAAAGCCAATGCGCTTGCGGGCACGGTCAAAGACCACGTAGAAACCTTCCATGATGACAGCGCCCATGACAGTGCCTGTGGAGGACTGAGAGATGGCGAACTTGTAGCAGTCATCCTGAGAGGTGGCCACATCCTCCACTGGGCGCAGGTATTGCTGCAGGGAGAGAAGAGCTGTCAGCTCTGCCCCAGACTGCCTCCTGCTCGGTGCTGGGCAGGGTCTGGCCTGGCCAACGCTCACCTGGGGAAGGATGGTGATCCGGAAGGACTGGTTGGTGGCCTCTCCCATCAGGTAGAGGGACAGAACAGGGAAGATGTGCCAGGGGGTGGTGCCGACCTGCCAGCAAACCAGCTGCTCCCCCAGCCAGAAGCCGTCTGGGAACTTCTCCGTCTGCCAGAGGGAAAGGAGAGGTGAGGGGTCTGTGTGGGCAGGGAGCAGAGATGCTCAGGCTGGTGACAGGCAGTCACCCTGCCCACAGCCCTCCACTGGCACTGGGGATGTGCCCACAGAAGGGGGGGATGGATGGATGAGTTTTAAGGGCCACACTGACCGAAGAAGCTGTTTTGATGGATTTCACTGCAGCCTCAAACACCTTCTTCGGCAGCCTGAGGTTGGTGGTGCCGCTGTCCACGATACTCTTGTCATAGTTGTACTGCAGACAGCGAGAGGAAGAATGACCCAGGGGGTATCCCAGCCCTGCTCCCCTCCATGCCAGCATCTGACTGCTCTGGCTCCCCCTGCACAGCTACTGAGGCTGAGCCCATCCCCTTCTTTCTATCGTGATGGACTCAAAGCTCACACTCATCTCAGCTTCACCCTTGGCCATGCTGCCTGGTGCCCTCAGCCTCCTTCACCAACCAGGCACTGAATCCCCAGGCACCAGGGCCTGCAGCATTCGCTGCACTCAGTGATTTTATCCGTAACCAAAGGACAGATGCCTTCAGCAACAAAGCAAACCCCTTGCAGGGCAGCTCCCCCTGGGGCCCCTG